GACTGATAATTCAATCCAAATATACCTGTTTGTTTTTCTTTCTGTGTTTTTAAGCACTTTCATATTAAACCAGTGTTTCCAAGAATATGGAAGTTAGTAGTAAATTACCTGCAAACCACAGACTCCCAAAGTAAAACTATCACTTTCTATAAATGTTGATCTTTGAGCATTGTAGCATTATGCCAAGTTTATTGTTTAATTGCACTTTTGACGTTTTAGTGCATGGTAGTGCTATCTCTTATTTAATGATGTTAGAAGGCTTATCAATCACAGTTAGCAGAATCAGTCTTTTAATGTAAACATTACCTTTAGGACAGAGCTTTCCACTAGTCGTGGAAATTAATGTCCACAGAATACCTGCTTGGCCATTTTAAATTATTATCCCGGATCATAAGAAGCATCTTTGATCTAACAAACTTGGCAGGCCAGTGTCTTCTGGCATGTAAAGTAATCCTGTGTGTATCGTGCTGTAAATGAATGTAAGTCTTAACTGAGAGCTGTCATCAGTTTATCTTACAGATGTGATAGGGTGTATTGACTGCCTTGGCTGGGGCTATAGAGACGGGCTGGTATCCAGAAGGGTTTTCAGCTTGTGGTTCAGCAACAGTTTTAGCCTATCTAAAGTGTCCCTGCTGTAGTTTGGGATGTGTGTGTGTGTGTGTGGAGGGAGTGTGTGTTGATTCCCCCTGCTCTTCCCTTTCACTCTGTTTTCTGAGTTAGTTTTCTAAGTTTTTTTAATTTTCATAGGGAAGCAACACCAGGACCTCTATGCTGCTGATTTACGCTGGTAGCAGAGCTGCACTTGCTTTTTCTGTGTTTGCATAACCTTGTACTGCTGCAGAAGGAAGTGATTCTGTCCTGTCCCCTCCAGCTACCAGTGCCTGTGTGTGTTTGTGTTGGTGTAGACGTTTGTACAACTGCATGGTGGGTTGGACTGGGGAGGTGACCTTGCCAGGGGTTAGAAAAGGCAAGTGTGAAGCTGTCATAAGAGGAAAGTTTCTTCTGGGAGGGAGAGTTAGCTTATTCTGGCCTGGTGAAATTGTAGCCTGGAAATGCTGTGTCAGCATAGCAGGATCGTTTTTAACTAACAATTTAGGGATGATTAATCCTTGTGGAGTAGTTACACTGAGCTACAGCATTATTAGGAATTCCTATTCCTGTTACTAACATGAAGATGCTTTTGTGTTGATAGTATGACATGACAGATTTCAGATGGTCAAAATAATTTCAAAAATGTTAATCGGAGATCTTATACATGTCTTAGTGCTTAATTTGTTTCAGAAGCATTAGACTGGTATTTTGTAATGCTCCTTTCCTTTAAACACTTCTCATCCTATTGATTTGTTGAGAATTTTTAGCCAGCTTAATTCCCATACTTAATAGCTAAGTAAATTTTTAGCTAGTCTTGTTACTAAATGTATGGATTACACTTCTAATTTTTGTTTTCCAGTGCTGCCAGTAACCTTGCTACCAAATAGTTTTTGAGTACTAATAATAGGTGATATTTTTAAACTAGGCTTTAAAAACTTTCACAAACCCTTTAACATATTACTCCTGCACTCAGCATCCTTACCATCTGTTGCAGCAAGCTTTGCACTGAGCGGAGCAATTTTTTAGAGCACTTACACTTCTCTCCAGAAAAGAAAACAAGAAGTGACCCTAGCACCTTTGACCTGGTTCACTCTCCTGGATCAGTGGGCAGTATTTGCAATAGTATGGGAAACTCACAGCAGCATTCCAGTTTTAGCACTCAGGAATGTTGCTCTATCGAGCAGTATAGGAAGATAAGTGGGAACTGAAAAAGAAGTAATAAAAATCGTACCTCAGTTACTGTGTTGATTTATAATCAAGGGAAAAGAATACCTTGTTGAAAACAATTGAATTTAGGTGTTTTTTGGTTCATTTTATGTTTTAACTTTGCTCAATGTGGCAGAAGAGATGGTTTTCCGTAGCTAATAATAGACTTTTCCCCAGTGGATAAGTTGATAGTGAAACAGATAGGTAGCTCATGAAAAGCAGAGCATGCAGATGTTAGTGTGGTGTTCCCTTTACTGCGGTCATAAGTGAAAACTTGTTTCATCAGATCTTTTCCAGCCACTTTCTGGTTGAAGTTTCTTCTTTCTGATGATCAGAATCATCCTGATCTCTTCAAAGAGGGATTTTTGTCTTTCCCTTGATGAACTGAAGAAAAATTGATGGTGGCTGGAAAACAGATGGCTGGTGTGGCTTGTTTCTGAGATCTGTATTTGGTAGCTGAACTTTGCAAGAGATTAGTTACTTTCTCTGCTGCTTGTGCTCCTTGCCATAAAAGCTGTGCAGTGGAGGTTTGTGCCTCAGCTGCTTCTAGGCTTCAGCATTTTCCTAGCTGTGTTGGCGTGAAACTGCAAGGTAACGCAGCCTGTTTTCTTGTCCGGTTGTAGATGGAGTTTTACAGGCGTGCGTGGCTCGCACGCAGCCACAGGGTTGAGTTCTGCTGTGAGGCCCTGCCAGGTGCCCGCCTGATGCATCCTGCAGCTGGTCTCTGCCATTGACCTGGCAGGATTCAGAGAGGGATTACTCCTGCCCAAGTTTACATTCAAACAGGTCTGGCAAGTCTGGTTATTAACACCTGTAGCAAAAAGCTCAGCATGTCAGGCACCTGCGAAATAATTGTTTCATTTAATTTTGGTTCCATTTAATGTCATGTAATGTAGAGGGACTCGATTCTAACATCTTACTAAGTCTCTGAACTAAGTCTCTTTTTTCTTCCTTTTATCTACCATCACTCTTCAACTCTCACTCGCTTTTTGTCAAGTTATGCATCCAGACTGGCAAGTGGAGCCAAGAGTACTTGTGCAAGCTGTCTTGCTAGAAAAAATGTTCACATTTGCATCTTAGGTGAGATAAACATTTAGCAATGAGCTTTGGTAAAACAGTGATCTGTATTACTGCCTGAAACATCCTAATTTATGGTAGTAATTTGACACTAAACAAAATTAATAACATTAAAAGACCTGCCATATTTGCTGAGGCTCCCAAGAATTTAGCACAGAAAGTTTGGGAGTAATTGTCTTGTAGCATTCTGGTGTTTCCTAGAAATACAAGTGGAAGATTCCACTCCTTCCCACTTTAAAAAAAACTAAAAAAAAAAAAAAAAAGGTGGAAGGATTGCAAATACTATTCAAAATTAGTTAAATGCATAGTTTTCAACTTTTGCTCCTAAGGGAAGGGGAAGGAGAGCAGAAGTTCCAGAAGTCTGTAACGCAGTTCTGAAGTGCGTAAGAACAACTACTGAAAGCTTATATTAAATAAGGAGTCTTGTATTGTCAGGGCGAGTAGCACATGAGCTGAGCCTCTGAGTGTCTATATAGTATCAGTCCTGCATGGGACTGGTGCTTTGTCTTCACTAGACCATATAGTGTTGGTAAGATTTCACTAGTGCGAAAATCATCGTCGTAGGCTGATTTACATGCAAATGGTTCTTTCGTATATAAAGCTGTCTAAATTAATTTTATTTCACTGGTAGAGAGCTATCAGTTCCTCTATATACCAGTATCAGTTGCCGTGACAAAACATAAGCTGACCTCTTCAATGCTGGAGTCTTAAAACAAATGTTTCATTCGAGTTTACGTCTGTGAACACGGTTCTGGAATAATGGCTGGAACCTATGGAAGAATCACCTGCCTTGGGCACAAACTGTCTTCACTCAATGTACATCCTGATTATCTCTGATATTACTTGTTTCCCACAATGTCTTAATATTTGTACTGCACATCTATAAGATCTGGTAAATTCTCTAGGAGCACAAAAGCTCAGCTTATGGAGAAGTTGTCAAATAGTAGTATTGTGAGATTTAAAATAAATACCCATGTAAAGACTGTGTCATTGTACTATAAAAACCATTCAGACCTGTGCTGCGATATGGGTTAAATCTGTGTCACAGCACAGCAGGTGTTGGGAGCGTTCTGTTGGTTTGTTCCTTCCCGCTGCAATTTATGCCATTAACTTAAGTCATTAAAGCGAATTGAAACTATTCTGGCACCGTTTTTTCTTTCAAGGAAAATTTTGTAGGCCTATTAGACCACACGGGGAAATTCGTTGTATTTGGAAATGAGCTACTCTGAAGGAAGAGCTTAGCTTTACACTATAACTCACTTTACTCTGGAGAGCAGTATCCAGCCTTCCCCCTGTCTACTGAGAAAATACCTCTTGGTAAAGTAGTTGCCAGTCTGTGTGTAATCATGGGAGGACTCTGCAAAGCAGACACTGACGTTACTGTGTTTTGGTCATTTCTACATCCACACCCCATCTTCTTCGAAGGAAGTAGTGAGATGGCAGCAGCAAAATCTATACTGTGTGTAGAAGAACTGTCAAAGCCTTCTATTTGAATAGTTAACCAGAATTGCATGAGAAGTAGGAAGTAGCTTTCTGTGTATATACATACAATATATTTAGTGTGTTTGTTTTTTTCTGAAAATTTTGTAAAAAGCATCGGCAGTTGCTGGCCTCACTAGTGCTGAGAACTGTTACATGAAAAATAAGTCAAAATCTGTTAAAATGACCCAGTAACAGTGTCGAAGGTGGCTTGCAGCAACATTGAGGAGCTGTTGTTTACAAAAGAACCTGAGTAGACAAGGCTGTAGGTTTTTACTCAGTTTTCTCAGAAGGAATTGTTTTTCTAAAACCTGTCTGTCGAAGCACTGTTGGAAGCTGCTTGCTTCACAGCAGCCTAAGCCAATCTAATTGCGGGCTGCTTAACTCCATCAGTAAAATGAGCAGCTCGCAATCGGAACACTTGAAGAGAGAATCTGTGAAAGAAGAAAAGGCAGCTTATGTACAGTCATTTTCCTGACCATAAATATTCTTTAAGATATGCCATTTTACATTTGAAATAAACTTTGCAGTGCTACTTATTCTGCAATGATTAAATCCAGATGTGCGTAAGAGGAGCATTCTAGTGAACCATATAAAGCTGTTCCTAGCTCAGAAAGCTTTTTCCATAACCAGCAGGTAATTTATCAATTTAAGAGAATGAAATGAAGGGTGAAGATAAACATTTTGTAGAACAAGAATTGAAAGAATACATCTAGTTAATTTGTTCTCTCCGCTAGAATTAAAATGGATCATCTACATCTTTTTCAAGTGTAATTTAATTTGACCTATAACATCATAATGGAATTATTTAAATATTTGAGTGTCTTGTTTGAACTATTTTTCCAGCAATCCTGAGGTAACTTTATTTGTCTTCTATAGTGACACTGCAGCAAAAGTAATGGTGGAACTACTGGGAAGTTACACAGAGGACAATGCTTCCCAGGCTAGAGTTGATGCTCACAGGTAATAGTGAATTCCTCTTTTCCTTAAAAGTAGCTTTTTCTCAGTTGCTAAATTATGTTGATTGCCTTACTATTAAAAGTATGGAATGGCCTGGCTCGCAAGGGCCCTGCCACAGCCTCTTTTCTATAGCACAGCTGACTTGAGCAAGAGTTTATCTGCAGTGTATGGTAGGTTTGGTTGTTCCTGGGCAGAGAGTCAGGTTTACTCCTCTGTACAAGTGCCCAGGTGTATGGCAGGTCACTGCTGAGAGATCAGCCTTGGGTAAGGAAGTCGTTTATATCAACTGTGCAATCGAAATTTGAATTGGCATCCTTTATTTTACATTTTTTACTTCCTGATTTTTTGATTCTCCAACTGCGAATGCTCTTTTTAAATAGCGCTTCCTTTTGAAAGGAAATTCTTGCTCTCTTTTCTGTGAGCAAGTACTAAGTGTGTGAACCACACAGAAATAAACTTATTTGTTGGACAAGCTGAGAGTAAATTCATTCTTAACAGTGTATTTTCCCCATCGACCAAAACGAGTAAGAGCTTGTATTTTGACATTCTACCTACCATGATTCTTCTTAGGAATTAGCTGTTTTTAATAAGTTGTGTTGTTCTGCCCGGTGTGTACAACCAACAGCTCTCAAGGGAGTTGTTTATACTTGAGCGTGGAGGAAAATCAGGATGACTCCTTTTGAGAATTAACGCGTCTGTGCATAAATGACAACTTCATTGACTACCCTACAGCAATCAGGGTAGTCTTTCACATCTCGTGAGGCTTTTCACATCTGAAAGAACACGCCTACCTCAGGTTTATCATATTGCTGCGTCTGTGCAGGCCTTAGGTTCTTCTGGGCGTACGTTACGTGGCGGAGTCGCGGTCCAGCCCGTCAGAGCGAGGGTAGCGCTAAGTCTTCTGATGTGCCGCTGAACAAAAGCTTTCATCTAGAGTTCTAGAAACACTTCAGGTCTGTTTATAGTCTGGAGCCGCAACCGATAAATCATTGGCCTCGCAGTGTTTGGTGTTGAGGTTTTCTCTGTTTTGTGTCACGTATTAGAGTGTAATTAATCTTCCTAAACAGCTTAATTCTATGAAGCTTTAGGAGGACAGTAAAACTACCTCTAGGAATGAAGGCTGGGCTGGAAATAAATGCATAGATGGAAACAGTAGGGTGATCTGTAGTCTTACCACCTGGCAAATTTCATTTGTGATACTGGGCAAATTACTTAATGCTTTACTTGCTTGTTTTTTCCATCTGTAAATTGGAGATTGAAATTGGAATGTGACCTTTTCTTACAGTTAAGAAAAGTTGAAAACCCTTAGGTGTTTCCTGAAAAAGCAAGGAGCAACAAATTGAGTTGCACTTACTCATAAAAATGTGTATTGCTGTAAAAATAAGTATTTTACTTTTCTAATTAGATGTATTGTACGAGCATTGAAGGACCCAAATACCTTTCTCTTTGATCATCTTCTTGCCTTAAAACCAGTCAAATTTTTGGAAGGAGAACTTATTCATGATGTAAGTAACTTTGTTTTTACCAAGATGTTTTGAGATCTGTAGAGTGCCCTGTTTTATTAGTGTCTTTTGAAATTCATTAGAATAGTTATTTATGCCAGTAGTATTGAGCTGTGAGGAACTGTTTCTTTTCATGCTTTTAGAATTAAACAGAAATATACTACATGTGAAATGTTTCCCTTTAGAAGTTTCAGAAACTCAAGATCTTGTTACAAATCCTGCCCTCACATGAGTTCTGTAGCAAAACTGGCTCTCGAGTCTGAGAAAACGAAGTAAGCTCAGGACAGACTGCCCTCAGCTATTGACAAAAGACAGAATTTTAGCTCTTAACAGTTTATTTTTCTCTTCAGTACCAATAGTTTTTATATATATGTCTGTCCAGTCTGCAGGGAGGGAAACACAGGTAATATTTAAACTGTTCTTATATTTGTTTTCCATTTTCTAGCTTTTGACAATTTTTGTAAGTGCTAAACTAGCATCCTATGTCAAGTTTTATCAGAACAACAAGGACTTCATTGACTCCCTTGGTAAGTTTTCAGATCATTACATTTCTGACTATTTATGTGGCTTAAGACATGGAAGCCGCAAAGTGCTTCAGTTTGAACCCATATATTGTAGCCAAGGAAACGGAATAGGAATTTTTAAGAACGGGTTAGTGTTTGTAGACTCTAACCTCTACTGCATCGTAAGTGGACCGTCTAACTGTGGTTTGTTCTACTAGGACAAGCTGTTTTACAGGTTTGGAAGAGAACTTCTCGGGAGGGGAGTTTTAATGCATTGATACTCTAGGCTAGGCCAGAGATCACAACTTTGTTGAGTAAGCCAGCAGCTTCTATAAATCTCTTTTTTTTTATGGTTAATAACTTTATAACAGCAGATACTTCTCCTAAACAGTAGGATAAAACATGCAAATAGTGTGTGTGTTTGCATGTGCTGATGTATTAGACCCAGCAAGCCACGGTCTGTCCCAGTTAATTTGTTTCATCACATGAAGCAATGTGATGGAATGTTAATGTCAGCACCCTCTTTATTTACACACTGTGGAAAAAAGGAGTAGTAATTAACACTCTGACACTCCCCCGTTGATGTGTAATTGACTGTTTCAAAGGAGCACTGGTTCATAAGCTATTGCATGCATTAAAATTACGTTTTTTATATTCCAGCTTTTTAGGACAGGGGTCAGTGACAATGCAGAAATTGCTCAATGATGCAGATTTTTTTATTACTGCATTAAGGTTTTGACATATTGGTAATGAATAAATGTTTCCATAAAAATCAGATTATTTTTTTTTTTATAACTTTGATTTTGAAATGACACTTGAACACTGGCTGAATGCATTTGAGGAAAGGCATAGTTTTGCTAAAACAGAGTTTAGTGCAGCCTTTTAACACATGCATTATTTTGTTTAATGGAGTGTGGTATAATTCTGAGAATAATTGCCCTCAAAGCTTTAAAATGCTGGTACTTTGGGTATTAAAATGATGGAAATAGCAATGTGATTTTTTGTGGTTAAAATTAGCAAGTTTTTGGCAGTTTGTAAATGCGTATGTAGGATAAGCATACCTTTTGTCACGTTTTTGAACATCGGTTGTGTAGACATCTTAGGCCTTTCTTTCCTAGGGGAAAGTGGGTTTTGCATTGTAATCATTTTGATGTATCAAAATGGCATATCTCTTAGTTATTTGTCCACAGAAGTATTTGCTAAAAATGCCGTTATGCTAACATTTGACTATATTGATGGAAGATTAATTACACATCTATGTAGTATTAATCGTATAATAGTCATGATTTCTTCTTTGGCTTTGCCTCCCTGTATCTGTGTTTACCTCTGTGAATATACAGTGTGTGCATTTTCAATATATCTAGAATCCACATAATGTTAGTAAAATCCTTAAATATCTGTGTAACTGTTTTGAAAGACAGCCTTACTTGCAGTTATCTTGATTTCTCACCTGCTTTGTGGTGAACTCAAAATTCTGAATGGCTTTGAGCGGTGGACAAGGTAGAGATTCTGAGGCAGTGCAGATCGGGATGCTAGGAACTTGTCTAAGTGTTTCAGCCATGCCTTTGAAAACCAGGTTGGTATAGAAAACAATACAATTATTAGATGAGGCATTCAAAAATTCTTCTGAACATCTGTGATCTCTTCCCAAAAATAAATAGATTTTTAATGATGCTTTAAAGTTGTTGTTTGTTTTTTTAAATAACTTGCCAAGATATTGGGCTTTAAAATAAAGGATATTAGTAACAGGATTTGAGTGACAGTGCAGCATCAGCTTTAGTTCTAACCTTTCCTGGATCAGGACCAATTAAAACTAATGTATGAAAGCTGTGCAGTGAAGGCTGCTACAGGTGGCATCAGCTTGTTACAATTTGTTGTTTTATTAATGCCGACAGTTTAGGCCAGTGGTAGCATTATCTGTGTCAACTGCGTCGCCCTAACATGTCCACATTTAATCTGGTATTATCAGCAGTCTTTTTCTGAAAGTTCATCAGCATCTCATTTGCATTTGTTAATTAGGGTTAATGTGTGCTAATTGATTTTTTGATGCTTGTAGAGTTCCATTAAACCCAGTTAGGTAGAGTTGCTGGTGCTTCTTATTCGTATGAATTATGGTGATCGCATTTTTGTTGAATCAGTGCCAAACAGGGAACCTGCATCATAATTATAGCTAATTAACACAACATGATGTCCTGCACTAATGTGCTTTCCTGTTAGTGTATGGATGTTATAAATTCCAAACTTAAATATTTACTGAAGCAATGTGAGTGTTTATAACATCATTCCAAAACAAAATGATTGGCATTCATTTTAAAGAAACTTCCAGTCCTAGTTGGTACCTCACAGAACTCGGATTAGGAAATGCCTTGGTTCAGCTGCATGTCTTAACTTTGTTGGCCTAGACTTTTTTTTCAGGAAAATGGTCTCTGATTTAGATGTGCTAGCCCTTGGCTCTATTCCTCGTGTTGCCAGTCATACAATCATGTAGAAGATCGAACCTGACTTTTAATATCTGTTACTCTATGCCTGAAGAGCACACGCTGTAAACGTACACGTGACTCATGATGTTTTTTTGCTGTGGTATAAACAGTTAATTCGGTGCCAAAAAAAATTATTCTGGCACAAAAACATTACATTGCTAAAGCATTAGTGAGAGAGGTTTATTTTCAAGCAACTGTGTGAGAATGAGCGCTGAGGCTGTAAGAAGGTTTTGACATTGCCAGTCATGTATTTTCCATTTGTCGTTGCATTGCTGCTCTTCCAAATGATCCAACTGAAAAATTCATTTGCACCCTAACCACCTAAGATTCTGTTAAGGTGATGTTTTTACCGTTTCACAAATCTGTGTGCTTCACTTTTGTAGATATTTATTACCTTTTACTGACAACGACTGAGTCTTAATGAATTCACAACTAACCCAGCTATTTTAGCAGAACACAAGGAAGATACAGGAATTAATGGTTTACCTTAAAAAAATGTTGATAAGGGCAGGTGTAATATTTTCTTGATGTGAAATAAAATTTAAATTATTAAAAGCACATGTAGTAAAACTAACATGAAAAACAAATGAATGAATTATAACTCGTATCCATAAACTATCAATGCTTTTACCCAGGCTTGTTGCACGAACACAATATGGCAAAAATGAGGCTACTTACTTTCATGGGAATGGCTGTAGAGAATAAAGAAATCTCATTTGACACAATGCAACAAGAACTTCAGATTGGAGCTGATGATGTAGAAGCATTTGTTATTGATGGTAAGAACTGTAGTACCATACTTTACACAACGCTAACAAACAATACCTTTTATAGTCTTCTAAGCTAATGTTAAATATTCAGAAAAATACTCATTTTTAATTTCTGTGTTTGTTACAAGATATAGCTGCAAAACTCCATGCTTAAGACATGCCTAACTTATCTTTTAAACAGTGTTTTTCTTTTCAGTGACAGGAACTGTATTTCATGTAATTCTTTACAGAACTAATAAATTGTTTGCTGTCATTAAAACAGGATGTGTTTGTAGGGGAGAGTTGTTCATAAAAACTGTACAGGATATTGCTTTAATAGACTGGCACCAAACAATAGGATTCATGCATGACCTTCATCTTTTTACATCGTTTTGTTTTTCTGCCTACTAGACTGTTAAAACCAACAGCAAAACAATATGAACTGCTGTGTTTTTATGTTTGTATTGATCTCATTTTGAACAGTTTTTATGCAGCTTAATACCTTTGCACTACCTCGAAAACACTGCTCAAAATAGCATTGCTTTTTTGCAGCCGTAAAGACAAAGATGGTATACTGCAAAATAGATCAGACACAGAGGAAAGTAGTTGTCAGGTAAGACTTAATTCTTCATAGCATTTTGCAGAACTTAGTGTGTTCTAATTATTTCACTTATATTTGTAGGATATTTTAACTAGAAGCAAGGTATTGTTCCTATCAGTTGCTGGTAGTTAAATAGTTGCTATTTATCATAATTTTATTAAAGCTCACACTGAATGTGATTAGCTTATTTAATGAAAGAGTCCTATTTTCCAGCACATTTCATTTAATGACCTAATAGTGACAAGAATACTAATGACTGTTTTTGCTTTAAATATTTGGGAAGGCTACAGAAATCTCTAACTGGTCCTTTATATAGAGGAAATAAAATTTTTCCTATTCACTTGTGAGAGTAATGCTATAAAAGAATTATTAGGTGAGCAAGACATCTAGTAATCATTTTCCAATTTTATTTTACTTCTCTAGTCACAGCACACATCGGACTTTTGGAAAGCAGCAATGGCAGCAATTGTATGACACTCTAAACACCTGGAAACAAAATTTGAATCAAGTGAAAAACAGTCTCCTCAGTCTCTCAGACACTTAACATTTTTTTTTGACCTAGTGATGTCGCTGTAGGTGAAATTTATTCAAAACTTTGACAATTTGTGAATGTCTCCAAAATGTATGCAATTGGTTTAAAGATGCTAAATACTCTAAATTGCAACACAAAAAAGGCAATAAAGCTAACATGGGAAAATATCTTCTGTTGGTTTTCTTCTGTAATTAGCAACAACAAACAGTAGCAATATTGGTTATGCTTCTTTTGTCCTTGTTTAAGTTTACACTATGTGGATCTTTCTTTGCGAGAGGTGTGGGGAGGAAGATCAGAAAAATGATAGTGCAAGTGACTGTAAAGTAAGAGAAGAATTTCCCTTATACCGTAAGGGAGGGAAAATGTGGACCGGTTAGAAGTGAAGCTTTATGAAGCAAGGTCTGCTGCCTTGTCTCTGTAAATCATACCCGACGCTTTAGTATTGAAAGAGACTGTATTGATACAGAATCAACTGCAACAGATATATTTAAATAATTTGGCAGTAAAAGTAAGCAGAAGATTTCCCTGTTCTTCTGCCCCTTAGAGCAGTTCTACGTTGCTGTAAATGTTTGTAGATACCATTGTATTTTGAAACAGTTGCAGCTGATTTTGCCTGAAAACTGAGTGAGCAGTCTGACAGAGAAACTAAATTGAACTATTTCAGCCAAAAAGGAGCAGGAGAAGGGTACTCTTAAGTAATTGTTTAATTTTACTGAATAGATATTAAAACATTAACTTGTAAACTTTTTAACTTTGGGCAAAACCCACAACAACTTGGATTTGATTGCAGAAACAGAGAACTAACGTTATCAGTAGGGATTGTATCCACTTTTGAACATACAAGGTCTATGTGCTGCATTAAACATGAAAGAACAGTGCATACATACCATATTCTATAGAATACCTCTACAAATCTCTTTTACTGAAGTGATTTATCTGTGCCTAAAAGACATGCTTTTTATCATCTGCCACTGATTTTCACTGGTCATCTTCATGTTTTCTTTTTCTTGCTGAATGAAGTCTCTCTGAATTCAGGAATTTCTCAATTTTTTCTATTTGGTTTTGTATAACGGAGTTATGAGTAGAACAGCTGACCTCATCTCTGAGTGCACTTTCACTTCTTGCTGGAGTTACAGTCATGGGAGAAGACTTCTGCTCATGCTGTAAAGGAGTAAATCCTTCTTTCACCTGACAGAATACAAACATAGCAGTTAATAATCCAGTACAAATGTTCAAATTGTTGCATTAAGCAAGCAAGCAAATGTGAACAGAAAGGTAAGTCAATTAGAAAAAATGTTTAATTTGAAGTGCTTGTTCCAGCCTTAATTTAGAAAACTTGATAATGACAACTATACTTTTATAAACCAAACCTTAATGTAAGACTTAGTATGGAAGTGTATGATTAAAAAAAAAAAAGACAACCTTGTACTAGAATGCAGATTAGCAAAATAAATAGTTTAATTAAACAGTTTAATGTTGCAATTGACATTTCTATTGCTATGCAAGCATTTGATTAACAAAACCCAAAATCATGAGGTTTATAGTGTTAACTCCCTCTCTACTTCACTGTATAGATTAGGAAGCAAACATCTTTAACTAATGCACGGTCTGTAATAGCTTGGTTTTTTATGTTGAAGATCTTTTTGTTCTTTGAATAGTTTTAATTACCATTTGATCGATACTTCACATCTACACAAATCAAACATAGACAACAACACAGCAGGAAAACAGTTTTTTGCCTGAATGATCAGTTCTCCACTTGTAATCCAATGTTGTTTGGCTCGGGGAGGCCAGCAAGCAGCACCAGCCATCTGCCTGAGCACACATGCACAACAGAGCCGTGGTACACAGAGCCAGTGATGCAGTGGTTCCTGGGAATCTGTAATGTGACATCTAATACTTTCGTGGCATGCTAGGGTAATTCTTTTCCAGGGATTGCAAGATGAGGCCTTCCCCCCGCCCCCCGAATTATTTTTAAATATCGGGCAACTGTGACCCCAACCAATGGTGAGCCACAGTCTTTATCAGGCCTGCCTTTATTTTAGCACATGAATTTTGTGCTAAAACTTTCCTTCCCCAGTGCACAAGCATTTCTTGAAGTTTGAAATATGAACAATAAACTTCAGGCAACTTGTTCACTTAGCCTATTGCATCTCTAACAACATTACTGCCATGCAGCTGAAGATACTGATACTTCAGGTCAATAATGACTGGATTCTCCCCTTCAGGGAGTAGGAAGTAGCTTCTTCATTTGAGTAATAAAATTTTCAACCTGTTGATTCTAGTGGCTGTATACATACACTCTCCCATGCTCTTTCCCAAGGCCTCACAAAGAAACGCCATAGTTCATTGCAAGCCACTAGTCAAAATGTCTGTGGCTAAGACGTGGGGCTGCATCTGTCCTGTACTAACAATCCAAGAGAAAAACTTTCATTTACATCATCCATATGTGGAAGTGAAGTTTTCCAGTGAAATAAAGCCATGCCACGTTACTTGGATTTTACTGAAGACAACAAGTGTTTAGACCTCTTTGGAGAAGTAATTGCAGTTAGGTAATATATATAGCATTTTAATGTAGTTCTGTGACAGCATGTTGAGAATAAAGCTTTTTAAAAAAAAATAATCTCAGCTGTCAAAATAAAAAGCCTCAGCATTTTCACAATAAAATACAAGTGAAATGTGTCTTACTGCCAGCACTGAGTGATACAGCAACCTATGGGACACTTAAATGTAAAAATAGTACGATGCATGGTTAGGAACTTGTGTTTAAACTAAGCTGAGGATGCTTATTCACCCTTACCTTGGTACTCAGGCATGTGCAGACTAATGTTTAAAGCAGTTTTTGATATTTTTACTAGAATTCTAAGTGCACCTGTAGCATTTCTTTTTCATTTTTATCAATTTTTTGAGTACTGTACTTTGGTTGAACGACATTACCCAAACTGGGGAAGGTGTTAAGTCTGTTCTAGTTACAGTCATACATGTTTGTCAAAACAAATAAACTGAGCAGCAAAAAAGACTGCTGAACTGATTTTTAATCTCTCAACAGCTTTTTCGTATCGGTCGTAAAAATGACAAAGTTGAGGACAGAGGGTATTAGAATGACACCAACACAGAAGGGAGAGAGTGGTCTGCAATATCCCAGGCTGAGATTTCATAGATTAAGTATTTTAAATAATCTAAGGTCAGACCAGCAAGGCAGCCTTTTCTTGTCCATCTCAGTTTTTACTTAGCCAGCACATAAGGAGCTTTAGTTTGGAGGTGACAAAGTAGTTATAACCACAGTCAGATAATGAAATACAGCTTTGTATTAGCTGTAGATTAGGTGTTTTAGTTCACGTATTTCCAAAAGTTCTCAGCTGGGGGAGAGAGAGAGAGAGTGAGGGACAGCAAGCAAGGCAGAGTGAGAAAAGTGCTCTAACCGATCAATTCCTGGCCCCACCACAGTGAGAAAAAGCAGGAAAGACACAGTAAACACCACCACTATGTTTGATGAAAAATCCACCTCACTGTCATTCCCAAGTAGAGTCACGTTAGGAAAGCTGAGTAATTTAAAACATCAGTCTATTTCTGAATTCAGAGAACATGAATGTTAATGGCATTGAGAGCTGCTCAAGTCCACCGAAGTCAGCCCCATGTCACTTGAAAACACTATACACCCTGGCCTCAAACCTCATCCAGAGAAGACAGCCACAACTACCTGAGAAATACCTCGAGAACCTTTTCTAAAAAGGAAGGTCAACTGTAGTTGTAAATTATTGCATCACCTTTGAATAAGATGTTTAGCGCTAGGTCAAATCCTGACACAGCAGTTACAGCTGTTCAAGCTCCACAGTCTAACATAGATCGAAAAAAGCAGTACGAGCCCTTGCTAGTGCCGTCCTTTATGAAGCTGGCTTGATTCAGGGAAACAATAGGTTTCTTTTTAGTTCTCTGCTTTTACACGTGTTTGTGTAATGCCATCCTACTAAATAATAAGGTAACTCTAAATATGGCAGCGCATAACTGCAGTATAGAATAAATGGATAGGCTCTAATTCATAGATCTGCTGAAGTTTTAGTCTTTCACAGATCTTTCAAATAACATGTTCCTGTCGAGTAAAAAAGGAAACAATGTTTTTATACTTTTGCATACTACTTTTTTTTTTTGCGTTTAACTCCTACTTTTACTGTAGGTGATGATTTTTATTAGGGTACACAATGAACTACCCTCTTCCTCCCCTCCCAAGCAGACTGGTTAGCATCTGTTTGATTCATATGCTGTGACTTTTTCCTGCTGCTTTCTATCAACCTTAATTGTGAAAAATGGTGCCTTGTTGCCCTTTTGATATTATTTTGGAGATTGACTCAGTCTTAAAGTATCCAGATGCGTACAGTTGTACAAATATCTGTGGAATTAGCTCACTGAGGTCTGGTCCGCAATATTTTTAATTGACTTACATGTTCTGTGGGAAAAGAAGAATCATAAAAAGTCTTTGCTATAGCATTCCATTCTTCACTAGGGTCTCCCTGGGGGTCTCGGTGGATACTAGTGTCGGCAGCTCTTCTAAAACTCGTAGAACCTGATTGACAAAAAGGAAATGGTAACAACTGCAATTTAGTCTCTAGGCACTAATTGTAAAGTAACTAAATTTCTGGTTTACCTCTGATCTTAAAAAACCAAATATTTTTGTTTTAAATCACTGAATCTCTGTTGTAGGCTTTTCCCCCTCCTCTTTTTTTTTTTCTTTCACATACTTCTGCATCTATTTTGTCTGTAAAGATGAGGTATATTTCTGTTCTGATTAAAAATGTTTTATATAATGTTCACGTATTAAGTTAATGGCAAATTTAAATTGTGATTTATAGAAAATGTATGTATTCTGAATATTGTAGCTGAATAAATATACTGTTTTCAGACAGTATTACTTTAAGACTCATCTTCTGATAATAATAATAAAATAAATAATTACTGCCATCCTGACATCATATTCCAGGGTGACTGGTAATAAAAAAGACATTCTAAATACAAAGGTTTTTAGACAAAGAACATTCTAAATAAGGAGTCTTTTTGTACATGGCTATACCTGATGTTTCAGGAAATCATGCTATAGCTATCTACTAAAGGTAGGAGGGGCAAATAAGCAGATTAATTATAGCAAAGTATAAGGCTCCAATCCTGCAGCAG